TATGGGCATAATAGGTCGAGAGGGGATAATGGGAAACAAAGTCATTACTATCTTAAGTGTATAGTAGGAGCAAGCCCACCTATGTGTGTTGCACAATATCAAAGAGGTTGAAGAGTATGTAGACAAGCATATGATTGAACTTAGGAGGGATAATCTTAATAGATCAGAAATTTGGCATGTTAGGGAACAAAATAAAACTTTTACGAGATGATTTAAGAAGCACATTCTTGAAATGTTAAATGTTGATTCCAATTCAGTTTCTGAAAATTTGAGATGGTTAGATAATGATCCAAGCAGATAGGCCATTTCTTACACTACTTACCTTATCAATAGGTACACATTTTATACAAGGGAGCAAGATGATAGGAGCACAATGTAAAATAGCGGTGTAACCCTTATAGCTCATTCCATGTATATTTTCAGTATTAAGGATAAAAATCTTATTTATGCAAACATGTCATACTTAAGTGTAATTGAGCATATATGAGATTTAGATTACATATCCTTTCAGGTTTTGATCTTTAGGTGCAAGTGGATTAATCAAAAAAATGGCTTGAAATTTGATTACCAATTTAGATTTGTACAAGCGAATTTGAACAAGAAAGAGTATAAAGATGAGCCTTTTATTTTGGCACAATAAGCCAACCAAGTGTTATATATTCTTGACTCCTATTACATGAAAAAATAAATGAAAAATGTAGCAGTTGAGGATGACCCATTTAAAGGGACATCAAATCAAAGTAGTGACACTGCAGATGATGTTTTATACATGAGAAATGATCACAATAAAGGTATTTAAATTTTAAAAAGGAGAAAATTATTTGAACATAAAAAGAAAATATTTCAAGGAGGGGGAAGTAAAAAACAGGAGTTAAGGAAATGAAAAGGAGCAACTTGAACATGTAACATTTGAATTAATTGTACCATTTTTGTTTCATGTTTGAATTAATTAAGTTGATTAATGTTTGAACTAATTATGATTGATTAATATTTGAATTAATTATGGTTAATTAATTTTTTAAATTCATTATGGTTGATTAATTTTTTAAATTAATTATAGTTGATTAATTTTTGAATTTCTTGTGTTATAGATAAATGGTTATTCTGAGTCTAGTAAAATCCCTTTATCAGATCCTACTACAACTTTTACTGATGCTTCGTCGTCGCAAAAAAAACTGGAGTAGGAATATAACAATATCTAGTGAGGCCTGACAATAATGGAGGAAGTTACAAAAACAAGAGCTGCAAGCAAAAAATTGGCAATGCAGTGGAACAAAAAAGGACAAGCCATTAAATCTGCAAAATTTATAAGTTATATTAGGGTGGTGGCAAAGATAACTATACCTATCATGCATAAATCATGGCAAAAAATTGATCAAGCTGGGAAGGACATTGTTTGGGAGACTGTGGCTGTAAGTTACATTTTACTAAGTTATATTTTGTTATAGTATTTTAAATTGATGCACCTAACATATTTATTTTATTGTGCAATTAGGATTTAAAATAGACAAGAACAAGAAGGATTTTCTCATTCAAAAGGCTGAGAGGGCACTGTGGTCTTTCATACATTTTATCACACAAAAATATTTGAAAGACCCTGATGTTGAATTTGTAGCCCGACTTCCTCCCATATTACAGTCTTTAGTAAAACAGGAAGATTGAAATACTTTTGTTGCCTCTCAGTGCAAGAAGAAATTCAAGGTATGTGTGTTTCTAAAATTTAAATTTTGATGCCTTTTATTGAATGTATATATGTGTACTAACAATATATTTTTATTATTGATTAAAGGAACTAAGCACTCAAAATAAGGAGAGAGTGGCTAAGAATGGATATCCTTACAGAGCGGGGAGGTTGGGGTATACAGGCATAAAGCAGAAACAACTAGAGGTGAAGGGATTAGATGTTTTCATATCCCACCAAAGACTTTAGGCATTGGCACGAATAAATAAAGATGGAGCTATTGACAACCTTCGTGTGAAGGAGGTTACTGAAAAAATTATAAGTATTATTATTATTATCTATTAATTAATAAATTATTATGAAAATGCATACTAATTAGCTCTACTTTGCATAGGATTTCCTCTCTTAGGAAGTCTCACAAGGCAAGCTTTTTAAGCATGAGCATATCTTGGCTAGAACGTTAAGGACCCCTGACCACCCTAATTGTGTCAGATGTGTCAACTTTAGTGTCATAAAGAAGCAATAATTTGGTAAGATTAAGGAGAGAATATTGACTTCTTCATCTAAGGTCCAAGAGTTGAGAGAAGAGAAAGCCATTATGAAGTAGCAGCTAGAAGCTTAGGCAAAATTAATTGACATACTACTGAAGGGGCAGATCCTTGGGAGACTTTTGGCTAACGTTAGCCCTAACGAAAAAGATAGCTACATAGTTCCTTCAGACAAAACACCTAAGGTAATACATTTTATCTTCTAAATTTACTTAACTAATTTTTTGTCTTACTAACATTTTTTTGTTTATTTAAGGTGAGAATGACTGCAACTGTTTAGCAGACGATCCTTCATATAAAGTAATTGCAATAGGACATGTGTACAACATTGTCAGGGACACAATTCATAACCTTTCCCTCCCACCTGATTATATTAAGGTTTCCTTGCTTGCTGCAATCGACCCTAAGTATCCATTACCTTATCCTATCGATGAGATGCAGATGGTAGGAGATGCATTGGGGAGCTTTGTTACATGGCCCAACCACCTTGTAACAGTGGGTACACCAAAACTAGCAAAGGATCCAAAGCCATTAAAGGACCTATTACCAACAAAAAAAAGGTATATATGATTTAAATAATTGTTTAGAATCTTTTAATATATATACATGTCTAACTTTTTTTTTGCATAGCTAAGGGGGAAAAGCAAATTGAAGAAAAAGGTGTCGGGCCATACTAAAGAGTCAGCCACAGTTTTACAGTATCCAGCACTTATACCTGTTGTAAAAAACAAATTTCATAACTCTCTTGAGACTTATGCTTCTGTTATGAGGATGATTCGTCAAGTGTTGATTGGGGATATCATTAATTTTAATGATGGACTATTTAATAGAGTATCATTTAAAGTCATTCGAGATGAAATTTTAAATGAGATCCTCAAGCATGATATGGCAAGTACTAGTTTGATAACATTTTACCTAAGGTAATTCTTCAATATTTTTCAATTAATTACTTGAATTATGTGTGTGTGTGTGTGTGCGCACACGTATTAACTTGTATATTTTTTCACCCAAGTCACCTTTATACCTTGTTTATGGTTCTTGGTAGCCTCGAGTCGAGGATTAAGCTGGCTAATCCTCATGATGTCTCTCCCTACAATAATATTACAAAGGAAGCTCTTGAAAATCAAGTAAAAATGCTTTCAGGTCAATTTTAGGAAAGGGAAGCGGATAAGGATACTTTATTTATCACTCCTTACTACCAAGGGTGAGCTACTAATGCTTGTTATGAGTAAATATTTTTTATATTTATTTGTTTGGTAACACATACTATTTCTTATTAAGGGACACTGAATGCTTATTATGATCAATCCTGTTGCTCCAACAATATGGTATCTCGATCCCCTTAATGGAGAATCAAGCAACAGGGAAAATATGGTGGTACTTTTTAACGAGTAAGTTGGATTTCTTACATTCATTCCATACTTTCTTTTTAGAGTTGTGGTGTTGTATCGCATTGTGACTGACAAAACTGTGTCACCTAGGATGAGGGCATTCGAATATTCAAACAAATGGGTCATTATTAAGGTATTTATTTAATTGGCCAAGTTTTTAATCAAGAAACTATGTCATGTTTTACAATTTCATTGATATATATATGTTTTTTCACAATGTCCACTCTAGTTAGATCAAAGCAATGACTATGGTTATTGCTTGATGAAGTTCATGAAGGATATTATCACCCATGCCCCTACCACATTATCTGACAAAGGTGTATATATTAAATTTAATTACACTTCAATTATAAATTTTAACTAATTTTAATTAGCTACCTATTAACTTGAAATTGTTGTGACTTTGCTTACAATACTTCGAAGACATTTACTGCATTCGTTATACAGCTGCACATGTAGAAGAAATCCTTGAAAAGGTAGCCCAATATGTTTTCTATATGTGGGTAGCGATAGTGGTTAGGCCGGCACAATAGTTAGTCATGTATATATATACATTATTTTGGCAAATTTTCATGGGATAAGCCACTTAGCTTTGAAACTTTAGTATACATAAAAGTTGAGTATAGATGTTTTTTATTTTAAAGGTAAATGTATGGGAATTTTAATTTAATGTTACTTAGGTAGTAAATATTATTAGAAACATTCATTGTATTATTTCTGGATGCTAGCTAGCTATTTTTTATTTGTATCTGTATCTTTATGCAGGGAGGCTTCTTTAAAAGCAGCCCTCGTATTTTTTTTAAAAAAAATACCATAAGTACTTGACGATTATTTTAAAATAACCGTCAAGTATTTATACATTTGACGCTTGTTTCCAAATAAGTATTAAGTATTTGTAAGTACTTGAAGCTTATTTGGAAACAAAAGTCAAGTATTTACGGCCAAAACTAGCCCATTTATTAAGGGGAAAGTAAAGTTATATTCATATACTTGATGGTTTTTTATAAATAATCGTCAAGTATTACCTAAATACTTGACGGTTTTTAATCATCAAGTGAAGTTTTTTTTAATATATGTCGCATCCTTACTTGATGGTTAAAAATCGTCAATTATTGTGAAAAATAAGCGTCAAATATGGGGCTTTTCTATGGTGGTGTATTTTTTGGATCATTTACTTGTCCCAATTTAATCAACCTCTAATTTAATGCATTTTATAACATCTCAAACATTGAATTAAACATTTCTAAGATCTGATATCCTAGTTAAACATTGTTATTAATTATTGTAAAATAAAAGGGTACATGATCTCAAAAGGATTAGATAAGACAAATAGATGATTTATTCACCATAAATTATAAAAACATATATCAGCATGCTTCTTCAACTTGTTCTGGTTAAAGATATGGAGAGACTGAGATGCACAAGGTTTCCCTTAGACATATGACAAGCTAGTATTTGTTGGCAATACCAAAAGAGATGGTCTGTTATAGCTTCTCTAAAGTGGCTAACAAGCAAAGGTTCTACCACAGCTCTCATGAATTGTGTTAGTTGATAATCTTTACTACCATTACGCTTCTCATCATAAGCAACTTCCCAACTTGTTTCAAATTCCTCTAAATAATTAATTGTGAAGGAACCTTCTTTTACAACCTCTAGTTTCAATTCAGATGAGGATGGACTGTAAAATGGAACATTGAATGAATCCATTTGATCTTCCTTTATTATCCCCTGCGTTAATTGCACATCAAAACAATTAATTAAATTCCTCTATCATGAAGAATGCATGAATCTTCATCTTTTTTCCCCTTTTAGTACGCATTTCAAAGAAATTTGTGTAGTTAATATACCTCCAAGACCATGACATTAAGTGCTTCAGCTACAATGTCCCAGATGTGGCAATATTTATTCATTGATGAATCATGATTGCCTCTTCCCAAGAGTGTGAGTACCATACGACCCCCTTCAACAAGTTCGTGAGCACGGCACTTGAGAAACATTGAGAAATCACTTTGAAATTGATGGTAGTAAGCAGTGCACACATTTAAAGGGCTTTTGCTTGTCATGTAAATATTGCCCTTGTTGTTTTCTACACCCCGAGGAACCTACATTTAATAATCGCACTCAGCAGTTAATTAAATATAATTTATAAATATTAATATTTGATCAATATTGTCAGAAGTAGATTGAGCATTAAACTAGTTAGGGTGCATGGTTCATTGATTCATGGTTTGATTGGCTTGAGTTAAAACAATAAAATGTAAATAATATTTATCCATATCCTTATTATTATACATGTCATTTTTATAGTCAGTTGTACCAACACTATAATGAAATTATTTTTCATTGCAAATCACCAAAATTCTCAAATATACCACATTAATTGCCTAACAAATCAACACAAAGTTTCATTATCAACTAAAATCACCAATAGATCATCTCTCTCTCTCTCACAAAACACTAACGAAAAATCAACCACAGCACCAGAAAAAAAAATAGCATAGTTTTAGGCTTTTGATTTTTTTAAAAAAATGAAAAACCAATTTTGATAAGTTTTTCATCGATTTTGACTTATTTATTTTTCTTCTGATTATGATGGTTTAACAGACCGAACCATAAGATGATTCCTAATTGAACTGGCCAGTCTAGTCTTATTCTAAAAACCATGCATTTAATTACTCAATACAATTTAAAAGAAAGAAAATTACTTATTTATGTACCTGAGACATCCAATGAAGACTGTAGGAGCAATGAACAAAATGCAAAGATTTAGTTGGGAGAATCCTTCCATAAAAGGAACCAGGAACACCAGTGATGTAGCATGGACCACTCCCACCAACCACTTCCTTACTTACCTTTTGTTCAAAGCTTTCAAAAGACTTGAAGATTGTGTTAAAGTCATTACTTGGTAGGTCATTCAAGAAGATCATGTATTCTGGAGATTCTTGGTTTCGGTCTCTACAAAGCTTCTCCACAGTTTCAATCAAATCAAAGGAGACAGAGAAAGTGTTTGGTCCAGATGAACAGCCCAAATCTGCAATTGCTAGGCTTCGAGGGTTTGCTTCTCTATAGAAGCAAGCTATAGCATCCTCTCTTATGGGCTTTGTTGAAGAAATCACCTTTTGCTGTCACCATGGATTATATTGTGCATATTATTTTATTAGAAGACGTATGTAGTATTATATTTTATAATGGATGCAATATAATATAATGCATGCAATTACAATGCTAGAAAATGATTAATTAATTAATAAAGTTTGAAATATATACCTGGAATAAAGAATTGTTTGAGTAGCTTGTTTCTGTGGTGCCTCCTTTCATATGCAACACTTGAGCCACGTCCATTCTCATGTTTTTACTTCTACAATTATGTGTCTCAATAATAGGGATAAAAAAGAGTGAACTTTATAGCCAATCGTCCGTATAAATAGATAATCCTTCCTAATTAAGAATTGGAATTCGTTACACCATTCCTTATATAAAATAATTAAGTTACGGGGTTTGCACATTAAGTAACAGATTTATTTCTTCATTAACGACATTTTTATTTATTTAGTAATTTAGTAATATGGTAATTATGTTCTTATCTGTTCAGTAACGATATTTATTCTAATCCATTCATTAAAAACATTTTTTATCTGTTCTTAAACACATTGTCATCTCTTCATTATGATATTCTTATCCATTCATTAACAACATTGAACATTCTCATTTCTTCATTAATGTGTAATTAATGGTATTCTTATCGGTTTACTAATGACACTGTACATATAAAGTATGGAGAGAATACAATTAAGCCCAAAAGAAAAAAATCGATAACAATTAGATCACAACAAAAGATGGTGAATAAATATAGGTATTTTGTTATTTAAAATTGAAGATTAATGGTCATTTTAATCCTTAAATTCTATACGAAAAGTTATAGATGCTCTTAAACTTAACAATAGGTCAATTCTATTTTTCAAGTTTAATGATTTCCTCTATTATCATCTTAACATTAAAATACTTAATGTTTGTTGGTCATCAATGAATTCTACTATTTTTTTAATATTCTTATCAGGTTAAGGGCTATTTTGCACTTCAACTTAAATATTTTATAATTAAAAAAACATGAAAAAATAATATAATGTGAGCCGACTAATTGTGAAAAAATGGCAGGATGATAAAGAAGAAAACTTAATGTGGGCTGAGTAATTGTGAAATAATATATTTTAAATGTTATTTTGAAACATTTTATTGATTAAAAATAATAAAAATATGAAAATATAAATTTTTTAATTTTTTTAAAAATAACTATAATAATGCACTTAGATATATGATATTTTAGTATAAAATGATATAAAACTTAAAAAATTAATTAATATTTATTATATTTTTAAAAAAATTATTTGGGTATTCAGCTTAAACCAGAATCCGATCAGACTTGGTTTGAATTTTTTCAGACCGATTCAAATTGGCCATAACATTAAAAAAAATTTATTGGGCTTGGCCCTAATTTTTTCAAGCAAGTTTGGATTAACTTACCAAATTTAGCCTAAATTACTGACTCTACTTTCATATATAGTTTAAAGATAAAAATGATCGTTAACCTTAAAATTTATTTAGATTTGTGGACTTTTGTTTTTTTGGGCTCAGCCTTTTTGTTTCTTATGGTCTTTGTGGACTTTTTGTTGTTGGGCTTGGCCCTTTTTTTGTTTGGTCTCTATGGACTTTTGTTTATTTATTAATACAATCTTCTTCAAACCCAACAGAAAGTGGGCGTTATTTTTTCTTATTTAGATTAATATTTTAGTTTTTTTATTAATATAATCATATTTAGTTTTTTAACATATATTTGTATTTAATTAAAATTAAAAAATGCATATATCATCCCAACCTACTTAATACTCCCTCTGTTTTCATTTATAAGAAAAACTATCACTTTTAACTTTTTTTTATATGAACAAAATCATATTTTTTAATAAATATTTATTACAAACTTTTTAAATTACCTCTTATAATTTTATCATCCATAGTCATAAAAGACAATTAATAAAGGGTATTACAGTTCAATTCTTTTATTTTTAGACACAATTAATATAATTAATCAATTTTTTTAAAATATATGATTTTTTTTTCTACAAATAAAAACGGAGAATACCAAACTATACAAATTGTCAATAATAATGAGCATTCCATTCAATTACCATCCATTGTGCCAACCAAATAGAGGCAAAGTTTTGTGTTAAACTAGGATCGATGACAACGCTAACCTTTTGTTTGGTTTGACTATAATGGAAGGGAAGAGAGTGAAGATTTTTAATGAGTTCGATTACAAATGAAAAAAAAAAATCTATTGTAAATAATTATGATCATATTCTTTGTTGGTTAATAAAATTATTTTCATATTTTACAAATAATTTTTGAGTAAGGGAGGGTCAAATTCAGGCCAAATGCCCAAATAAGCACATTGGGCCAAACACTGGATTTGGGGTGAAGCCTGACTCGACTCAGCCCTTGCCCCTTGTGTATCTCTTTGTGTTTCATTTTTTTTTTCTTAATTTTTTTTCTCTTTAATCAAGTATGAGAAAATTGTGTTTTTCCATCATTCTTCTCACCCATAATTTGATCTCTTTAATCTATATCACTTAATTTTTCCCTAGTTTCTAACTGCTTCCTCTGCTCTACTTTTAGTTTTTTTTTTTTTTATACAGACCCCTATACTTAGAATTTTTCTAGAATCTCAATCATAATATGATCTCTTTAATCTATATCATTATTTTTGTATACTATTTGGTTATTACTATTTAGAGTTTTATATATTATTTGTTATCTTATATATTATATTCTGATTATTATTATTTTTTAGAATCTTCAAATCATAATATTAAATATTTGATTATAGTATGTTTTGATTGATATATTATTTGAGATATTTAAATATTTATAGCTCATATATTATTATTATTATTATTATTATTATTATTATTATTAATGTTAGATAATGATCTGACTTGATTATATTTGTATCATTTTTTATTATCTTTAGATCAAATAGCTTTTAAATTTTTATTTATTTATTTTCTTGTTATAAAATATTTTCCTATTTTCATATGGCAATTGCGTTCATAAAATATTTTTCTAATTTCCATTTTTTTATTATCTCTTTTTTATTTATTTTTAGATGTTATTTTGTTTACTTATGCCAGTCAGGACAAAATACGATGTTTACCCTCCCATACGCACTTGGCTGTATTGCCTCCCCAAAATTGCTCTCTTGCATGACTTTGATGCCCATCATGAATATTCAAGCTTCAATTCGTCCCACCATAAAAGTGCTACGCAACATCACCCATGAGTCTCACATAGACTTGTTAATTACTTCAAAGTCTCATAAAATGTGAAAATATTTCTCTACTCCTAAGTCCTTAAAGTGTGAATAAATTTAGACATGTATTAATGACTAAAATTAGCGTTGGTAATCAAATTAAACTTATTCGAATCGAGTTTAAAATATCCAAATATATAAAAACCTTTATAGCCTAGCCTTACTCTAATGCCTTGGGCTTTTGGATTGACTTGAATTATTAGATATTATTTTATTTAATTTAAGTTAATTTCAATTTTTATAGCAAAAAATTAAGATTTTCAAGTAACATAACACAATAACCACCTTTTGCTGTCATTATTAAAGTGAGATCAAGCATTGAAAAGGTAAAAGTAAAAGCATATAAATTAATCTCTCATATTTATTTTTCATTAATATTTTCAAAAAATATTAAAAACAAATCGTTATTAGAACATTAACACTTCATTTAGGAGTTTAATATATGTGAATTGAGAGCTTAGAAGAAGATTCATGGGTATTAAGTAAAAGTTAAGGTGAATATTAATTTTATTTTATTGATAATAAAAAAATTTGATCTAAACCCATTTGGGTTCAAGCTTATTTGGGTAGAAATAAAGGAAATTTTATAAATTTTCAAGCTCAATTATAAAGTTTTTCAAATTTAATCTGGATTACGACCCTTAACCAAAATTCCTTACTGAATTACTCCATTCGGTCCAACAATCAATGAGGGTGATGTCTAGAAGGGTCCTTTGGGTGACACTACTATAAAGTAGCCCCTTACTTGACAATTATTTTAGAAATTATTTAACAGTTTTTAACCGTCAAGTAATGGGGCGCTATATATTTATTTGATGGTTAAAAACTGTCAAATATTTTAAAGATTACTTGATGGTTATTTTAAGATAACAGTCAAATAATCACTTAAACATTAACAGCACAGGTGTACTGTAAGAATATACTTAACAGTTATTTTAACGGTCAAGTATGTATACTTATTTGATGATTATAATAAAAAAAATCATCAAATATGTTTTGACAAATTTTGTGTTACATATTGCCAAATACTTGACAATTATTTTATAATAACTGTCAAATAAGCATACATACTTAACGGTTATTTCGAAATAACCATTAAGTAAACTTATACTTGATGTTTCTTTCTAAACAGCTGTCAAATATTTATGATGTATTTTTTTAAAAGGTGGGGGCTGCTTTTTAAGTAACCCCCTACAAATACAAAGCAATCAAATATATATACCAGTCAGCCAACAATCAAAAATAATTGAATCATTATTTATATTGAAATTACAATCCAAATATCTTTATTTCCTATATCTACCTATACCCTAAACCCAATGCCATAAAAAATCTATAACTTTACCTACTTTATGATTAAATATTCAAAACTAATTGGCCTCAGACATAAAATTGGCCAAAAAAAATAGATGTGTATACCAAAACTAATTGAGTCTAACTACTGCTGCTATCCACATGTTAAACACGACTTGAGCTACCTCTTCAAGGGTTTCCTCTATATGTGCAACTGCATACCGAACACAATAGGTATCCTCGAAATACTGCATGCAAAGAGTTACAACAAATTCAAGTCAATAGCTATCTAACAAAAGTTGATTAAAATTTATAATTTAAATGTCATTAAATCTAATATATACCTTGTTAGGTAATGTGGTAGGGGCATGGGTGATAATGTCCTTTAAGAATCTTATCAAGCAATAGCTATAGCCATTACTTTGATCTGACTAGAGTGGACTCTGTGAAAAAAAAAATCACATATCAATAAAATAATAGTTAAAAGGTTGTGGTTCATTGATTAAAAACTCAACCCATTAGGTTTACTTTAACTGTGACCCATGTCTTACAAGAGTCCAATGCCTTTAAACTGGGGGACAAGGTCTTGTTGGTCACATTACGATATAAGACCACAGCTCTGAGAAGGAACAAAAAAATAAATGTTAAAAATTCAATATATATGGATATTAAATTGACAATTGATAAAAATTCAACTTACTTATTAAAAAGTTCTCTTTGCCACCATCTCAATATAACTTATAAATTTTAAAGATTTAATTGCTTGTCCTTTCTTGTTCCATTGCACATCAATTTTTTTCTTGTAGCTCTTGCCTTTGTCACCTCTTCCATTATTGTTAGGCCCCGCTGAATGTTATTATACTCATGCTCTAGCTTTTTCTGTGTACTCGAAACCTCAATCTAATTTGTAGCTAGAATTGATGGAGGGGCATCAACAGACTCACTATCAGAAGCCATTTATCTGTAAAGGAAGACAATTAAATCAAAATTAATTTACTTAAACAAAATTCACACAATTAATTCAAACATTAATCAACTTAAATAAAAAGAACACAATTAATTAACTCAAACAAAAATTTTCATCATTCAAGTTCTCATATAACTTGATTATACTCAATCAGGTTACCCAACAATAATTTAAATAAAAAGTTTGTCCTAAAAAATTCGACAGCATAATAGCTTAAAAAGGAGAGTTTTTCAAGTTTTGAATCCTCTCTTTATTCAAAAATTTTATCATTCGCAAGTTCTCATATAATACTTATATCCAATCAAATTATCCACAGCAACAATTAATACAAAAATTTTATTCTAAAAATTTAATATAACTCAATCATATTTAATCAAATTATCAAACAATAAAATTATCAACATCACTATAACAAGGGAAGTAAATTTTTAACAAATTCATATAATACCCAACAGTAAATTAATTTTTATATAATCTTAAATTTAATTTCATAACTAACAAAGAATCAAAAACCAAAGCCTATATACATTCAATCACACATCATAGTTCTAATAAATAAAAAATTCATATTCCAATCGCTAATTTCAATCAACTTCTTAATTACAATCAATTTATAACAATACTACAAGAAAGAAGGATAGGCCAACTTACCTAAGAGAGGTAGAGCACGAGGATGAAGAAGAAGAGTAGGGGAAGGAGGAGAGAAGACAACTCACGTTTTGCACTGTTGAAAAGCAAGTAGGAAAATTTTAAGTCAAATTTATCATAAATACTAAACCCAAAAATGAATTAAACAGATGAAGGAGAAATTAAACTTACATATGGAGGACGAAGAACGAACCCAAAATGCTCGAAATGATTTGGATGAACAAACAATGCATGAACCCTGAAAAATGAAACCCACGAGCAAAACCCAAGAAGAATCGAATCTAAATTTGTGTTTTTAGGCAGTTTCAGTGATGGAAAATGATTTTCGAGCACTCTAGAGGTGTTTTCAAAAATGTTCGAGTTGCATAAATATAAAAATGAAAGATTTTGGAGCGTAAATTTAAAAGAAAATACTTGATGATTATTTTGTAATAACCGTCAAGTATTCCTTATTTGACACTTGTTATTAAAGAACCGTCAAATAAAATATAGACATACTTGACAGTTATTAATAAACAAGCATCAAGTAATTAATTTTTTTTATTTTTTCATTTAAATCATATATTTGATGCTTGTTTATAAATAACCGTCAAGTACACTAAAATTTACTTGATAGTTATTAGCAAACAAGCATCAAATATATTTATAAAAAAACTAAATTTGAGATGCAAATATATTTGACAATTACATCAATATAACTGTCAAATATATATTAAATATTTGACGGTTGTTTTAAAACAATCGTCAAGTATTTAGCGCCTTTTTAATTTGTTATTTTACATTTATAACCGTCAAATATAAGGCGTCATATTTAGCTTATTCTGTTATAATGTGACGAGATTCTTAGGAATCAAGGAGACAGAAACAGTCAAAGCAAGCTATGGTAGAGTGAAAGGAGGAGCGGAAAGAGAAATTGCGATGCAGGGAATGTGAAGAAAGGAGAAGATTTAGCAATGTAGGATTTAGTTTGAAAAATTGAACTTACTAGCATTTCAAAACATGTTCTATTAATTATCATGGAATGTTATCGTCTCAAATTTAGAGACACATGTGGATTTAGGGGGCCAAGTTGCATGGCTATTTACTCAAAATTCTGTTAAATTTACTTTATGTTTTGTTCATAAAAATGTTAAAATTATTTTAGGCCCCCACTATAATGTAGTTTTTGCATTTTTGGCTCCAAAAGATTTGGTTCTACATATGTCCTGCTCAAATTATTTGAGAACAAGTTTTCCAAATCAAAACTAAAGTTTATACTGAGTTAAAAACAACAAAAAAGACTTTATACATTGAAAAAGTCCCCCCCCCCAAACTGGATAATAAACTAAAACAAAGTAAAATTACAACAGGACTGTTTAATTTTCTTTATTATAATTTATTAAAATTTTTATATACTTTTTTATTTTAGAAATATAAGTTAAAAATAAAAAAATAAAAATATTAAATTTAAATTATTCAAATTAAATTTAGACGCTCTAAATTTACTTCTACTCTAGCCAAAAGGTGAAGGACACTTCCCTCAACAGAGGGAAGGCAACTCCCCCCCCCCCCCCCCCCAAAAAAAACAAACTTTCATTTATCACAAACTTAATAACTTTTTTGCTTTGAATCTCCGTAGAAGAAACAAAACAAGTTAGTCTATCTTTGGTATCCCTTTTCCTGTCTCTCTCACTTGCAAAACAAATAGTTCATGTATTTCTCTAATCTTATTTATAAAATAAAAAAAATTCTTTTATCTTATTTATAAGTTATTTTATTAAATTTTTATTATAAATTTTTTCACTTAACCGTTATTGATATTGAAGAGAAAAAAAACATTATTAAAGTATATATATTTAAGAAGAGTAAAGTTGAGAAATTATAAAATTTTTAATAGAGTTAATGACTTTTAAAATTTTCTTTAATTATAATAAAATATATTAAAAGTGCATTCTAAATAAGATCAGAGAAATACTATTTTGTATTCTTTTCCTCTCTCTCACACCTGATGTAAAACACAGAGTTCATGTACATTTAGTGCAGCTAGAAAGTACTACATGAGATGAGACATTCAACAGCCATCAAATTATGATAATAAATGATATTTTGATAGCTATTGGAGGCCATACAGCAATTCAGGATTCAGGGAGGCTTCCTGACTCGGAATCATTAAACAACCACCTGAACTTAATTTGACTTCTCTTATATATCTTAGTTTTTGTTTGGGTTTGGAATGATTAGTTCTGCGATTGGCATGTCATGCGTCATTTGAATTTAGCACTGGTTGGCATCAATGCCCGGAAATATAACAAATTAACAATGCCCTGGCTACTGATTAAATGCGAGAAATTGATAGTAAAACGCGTGAGGCGATCATCATTTTCCCTACTTTTTCAAAAAAAAAAAATGCACTATCATTATCATTACCGTTCAGTATGCCTTTGTTCATTGTCACCAACAAACAGATCCAACCATTTTCCTACTTTAGCACACATGGGGTTAAGAAGCCCGATGATTTTTTGTTGTCTTTTTTCGGCGCTCAGATAAAACTCCCTGCGTGTTTGTGTTATGTGCACTGTATTGATGGAACAAAAGTGACGAAGAAAATTTGACGTGAGTATGCAGCACCGATGAGATTGAGTCGTATATATTCTACCAAAAAGACGTCGTATATCGATCTAGACGGAGGACACTCTGAAGCCAGAATATAGCACTTGTTAAGGTCTAGTTAGCCCAGTGAGTGATCATGATGACCTACGTTTGATAACCACTTGAAATCTATAAGAACCCACGACGGCCATGACAGGAGAATTGGTTTAAAATTATGCAGTCCAGACTATTGGCCCCTCATGCGCGGTGTTTCAGTGCCAAGCTTCAGCATTTCCGAACGGAGTAGGCCATGTGTCATGCTTGAGCGTTGGTAATGGTCACTCTGTGCATGTTCCTGGAGCTTTATTTCTCCTAGTTAACAACCAAGTATTGATTCTTCAAGCCTATAGCAACATAGATATATACATAAAACATTTTAACATATTTTTTTGTCGATGAGATGATCAGTAACTCTCTTTGCATTTTGCTGTATAGCTTTGTTTAATATAGTTTTCACATTTTCATCCAAAAAAAAAAGTCTTTTTTTAAATACAAGACCATGGATAAATCATGTAAGGGAAAAACAATTCATGTCTTGTTAAAGTACAAAAGATTTCTATACCCTAGAGGTGGAATATAAAAAAAATTTAAAATCTACATTATCATTCTCAACATATTTATTAGCTTCCATAGACATATGATTAAAAAGTAGTAGTCCAATTTTTTATAATGAGTTTCCCAATTCTTTTGATAATTTTTATAGGAGAATAATTTAAAAAAAAAAACTCAAGCAAAATGGGTATGGGAGATTCTAAAAAGTTAAAAAATGTTGACTTTAATAAATTTATTATTCGAACAAATATGTTGACCTTCAAGAATACACACAAGTTAAACAGGACGATTGTCAAGATATTTCATAAATTTCTTTATCCAATTTTCTTGATTATCTCTTAATGAGTCCACTAACAGTGCCATTGTCTTGTCTTTCTCGCTGGCACTAGTCTGAACAAGGAAAGATTCCTTTGCTGGTACGCCTGGCTCTTCCCAACCAAATCATTCCTTTTTAGGAAAACGCCTATGGCCTACCTCCTTAAATGCCAATTACCACACCCGCAATAACTTGAGTAATTATATCCAACTTTGTATATCTTTTAATGTAGTGGTCACGGGCCTTTTGTTTCCGGAAATCTTTAATGGCTATTTTGACTTTTTAGGGCACATTTATTCACTTGTTTATCATTTTTGGGCATAAACACTTAACAAGCAACATGCACTCCTTTGTCTTCATTTTCTTGCATCTTTAATTCTCAAGTTTTGTCTCTCTCTCCAAAAGTATATTTCTTCCCTCTTAAATTATAAGATATTTTTAAATAAAATTATATATAATAACATAATTTATTAAATATATTTTATAATTTTATTTTTTCAATGCTTACGTAAATTGGGATTCAAACCTCCTTTCTCCACCACAACATCCTTCTTACCCAGTGGGGTTTTCCTTGAGAAAATTATCCCTTCCTCTCGCCCTTCCTATTTGTTGCCACTATCCTTACCACTGCCACTATCTTCCTCACCTACACCATTACCTCCTTTCCCTCCAATATTCCTTTCTTTCTCACTCATCCTCTTCATGGCTTTGTCTCCAATAATATTCTACTTTATTTCCTTTTATTCTATTTATAAGATAGGGAGAAATTTTTTTATCCTATTTATAAGTTACATCAATAAATTTTCATTACAAAATTTCTCGTTACCCTCTATTGAACATCGGATAGAGAAAATATATTGTTAAAATATATATATTTAATAAGGATAAAGTTAAGAACTTATTAAATTTTTAAACAGAGTTAATAAGTTTTAATATTTTTTTTATTTTGGTAAAATGTATTAAAAGTGATTTATAAATATGATAAAAAAAATTTGTGAGAGGGGTTGGGCGTGCAAAGCAGAAGTTAATAATAAATTTTTTTGATTATTCAGTCATTCAGATCATCCAACTCTATTCGTTTTCTAGGTTTGAGAGAAATTAAAAATGCGGATAACAAAAGATTGACTAATTTTTCCCCCTCTGATACACATTCAAAAACAAAAAAGCAACTTGATGATAGACAAAATTGAATTCTCAAGTCCGCGTACGTGGTGAAATTTTGCATTCATGGAATAAGAACGAAACCCATCTTCAAAAAGCTCATGTCACTCTCACTACCTCGTTCAGATCAATCTGCTCCATGGACGTTGGAATCAGACATGTCTTAATTATGACAAGAGAAGTTGGAGAGACTGTGGTATTAATTGTTGAAACTGGAAACACCTAAGACGAAGATGGTTATTCATTTGCTAACAGTGCCTCAGAACCTCTTTTGGCAAGAGATGTTGGGGAAGAAAACGAAATAGCATAAAGGGTGTAGACAAAACCATAAGTTTTGTACAGAATCGTATATTTTCTTGATAATAAACTGTGTAAGGTGTTTCACCATGTATAGCTTATAACAACTAATATATAAATGACAAGTGTAAAGTTGAGAAGTACTCCCTCCATTAAAAAACGTAAAGTACTTTTAAATAAATTTCACCCATTAATAAATTAATTACTTGTTTTTAAGCTAATTATATCTTTCTATTTTTATTTTTATTAATATGGTGTTTGACCTTAAAATAAATATAAAGTAA